TCAATCAAAGTTAGAAACCACTAGCCTAGAGGTATAGAGAAATGGAAGCCCAATTTGACCAACTGCCAGGCTTCATTCTCCTTCAAAACACTAAATATTCCATAAGAAAGATATTTTTCTCCAGTACTCATCATATAATAGTGATCCCAATAATAATTATCTAACACTTGAACACTTCCAGTTATTAAACAAAATTTCAGATACTTTAATTCCACTTGAACTTCAAAACAATCTGTGAGATAGTCTATTATGAATTTCTATTTCGCAGATGAAGAACCTGAGGCTCAGTGAGGTTAACTCATACACTCTGTAGAAGTGCCCATGTAGTCTGTACTCAATTCCCCATTTTCCAATTCTAAATATAGGGTTCGTTTAACTAGTCTTTGAACCCTATACTAAGAAAGGGCATCTAATGATAAAAGTTCTTAAATTTCCTCTCACTTCTAAAAGAATGTGCATACTTTTACATCTATCTACAGCCAAAACAAAAGTAGCCTTGCTGTACCATCTTTCTAAATGACCTCTCTTCTCTCTTCTTAGTGACATTCTTACTTCACATCCTGTGAAAGAAAGGTTTATTCTTTCACAGAATCCAATTGCCGTGAAGAGACCATGAAAAGAGGCAGGAGGTAGTACATTTCCTCAATTACTTGAAACATACTCATTAAAATGTGATTTCTCCCTTTATTTCATATGCAAAAATTTTATTACATGTGTGTTTCTGTTTGGGTTATCTTACTTCATTGAGGGTGGAATTCTCATGAGAATAAAGACAAGCGTTCTTATCCTGGTTGCTATATGACTGTGGATAAGTTATTTAAACTTTATGGACTTCGGTTTTCTCATTAAGAGGGTAAGTTGGACTAGGTGATCTCTTCCTTCCATCTCTAACACTCTATGATTCTGTGTTATGTCTTTTAGATGTGATTGACAGATTGTTATGCAAATAACAATTGATAAGTATTTGTTGAAGAAATGACAAATGACATTTAATATTTTGGGAACGGCTACTGGGATCAAACACAGCCAAGCACATTATCAAAAGTATTTGGCTTTCACTACTGGAATTTGGAAAAATATCTAAAATATATGTGTCAATACTCTCTATGTACTTCTTTTCATTATTAAAACTAAACTGCAGCAAACATTGTACTTGGTTTGGAGAGCTGGAAATTACTGATCTCCTTTTTGCTCTAAATAATCTAACTTACTTAGTATCTAAATTAGGGTAAACAAATTAGTCCATGAGTGAATTTCATCAAAAACTGAAGATCACCTCATTTCAGTGCAAAAAAATTATTTTCATATGAAGTATTTTCAATAGAAGTTTTTTTTTACAAAAACTGTTACACATTCTCCTGCCTCCTTAACCATGGTATTTTACCTCTCCTTGATTACCCATAATGCCATCAATACGCAAAGCAGTTGTTATATTGTGTTAGGCTAGATTTTAGTCATTAGAGTGATATTTGAAGTATCTACTGGAGTGCCTAAGTCCATTTGCCCCTCCACGGAGTGTCCACAAACTGTTGTACTGAATAACTTTAAAGTAAACAGAAGAGCCTGTCTACTTGTATTTCTTCTTGCCAGCTGTCATAGTTCATGATTGTCTGTGAACCAAGTGGGTTCTAATCTCCTTTATTTTAGGTAAAATGGCTTGAGAATGGCTTCATCTTTTCAACTAAGTGAAACTGCAGGCTCTGTGACATCTGCTTTCCAATCAGAAGTTGTTTACATTTATTTTCAGACTCATGGCTATGTTCCATACAGTTGTATTGCTGGGAACTGGATTTATAGATAAATGGAGATCTCCTCTACCACCCTATCAAACCTTCAAGTGATACCTTACATAAAGGAGCTCAAGAAATTGTGAGCTATATAAAAACAATAATCACTATTATCCCTACAGTAACAATAATTCCAAATTCACAAGAAAAATGTACAAATTGAGTTCCAAAAGTTGAATTCAATTAACAAAATAATCACTGCATAGACTTGCATTTCTTCACTATAACATATAAAACATAAATCTACATTATGAAAGATAAGCACACATGGATACATTTAATAAACCTTCAAGTATTCAAATAATGTGAATATTTTGAAATATCTTCTATTTTATACTTTAAACCTTTCACATGTCATTTGTATTTTTGCAAGAGACTGGCAGTCTCTTTACATAATTTTTACTGTATTCAGCAGAATCATTTGAATTTTGAAATCATCATTAAAAATTTTTTTAAGCCATAAAATATATTTTAAGAAGTTCTTTTCCCATTGTTTTCAGCAAATATTCTTAAATTAGCCTATGTACACACCCATGAAAAGAAACTCCTTCTTTCCTGTCTAAATATTTCTGCACAACATGGTAATTGGTTTCAGTTAAGTGTTGTCAGTGGACAGATTCCTTCAGAGAGACCACAGAAGACTCCTGCTGCCCTATAAGAGAGGCCCATGCAATTGGCAACACTAACACTGCAATCAATTAGCAAGATACCATTTTAAGAGCAACTGTCTATAATCCTAAACTTGTATCATTAAAAAAACCCAACAAATTAAAGGAAGTTTCAGTACTTTTATGGCTCTTTCACATTTTTGTTTCACAAGAAATAACAATCAAACTCAATTTATTAATACTACTGAGATTTTTATATCATTTCTCAAACGTCTCCATATTTTATCTGTTTCCAAACTCAAGTACCACTATCCTGAGAAGGTAGGGGTTTTTATGGCTTGCTAATCTTTATAGAATCTGTTTCATGAGGAGACCACAGAAAGTCCTAGGCTTTACTTATGTAACTCAGGTTTTTTATAAAGAATGTCCCTTGAAGGCTTCTGTTTCTATGAAAGCTTGCTAGAATTCCTTATAGTTAAATCACAGGAGATTCCTTGCAGTCAAATAATGGGCTTCAATTCCTAGGTATAATTTATTAAGTTTTTATTCATACTTAAGTTTGAGTATATGTTATTTCTGAAGCAAACTTTCTTTTTCTTGATTTCACCATCATCTCCACTGTGTAGTGCTGCTATGTATGAGTGCAGAAATCACACCAGAAAGTAAAGGCTATAAGTGCTGCCATTAACAGATGCAAAAAGCAATCATAATCCAAAACAGTAACAATTTATTGCAACTCACACAAACTCTATGAGGTACTATCCAACTCTATGAGGTACTAGTCTATAATTTATTTTACTATTTTTTTCAGAGACCTTATTTTTCACTGGCTATACATCAAAAAATAAGAATCAGCAATTAAAAAATAAGATTGAGAATCTGTAATAAAAAAAATCTAAAATCTTTAAGATACCTTTTATATAATAGTCAATCTTGAACTGAGTCTTCAGTCTGGTAAACTTACACTGGAAATTATGACTGTGTTAAAAAACCACTTAACAAGTATCCTTACCTCCAGTCTCTTTCCATTAAATATGTCTTGCCCAAAATCAAAAAGTCATCTCTCTAGAAAAAATCAAAGTTTCATTGTTTTGCTTCAAAGCCTTACATAGCTTCAAAGCTATGTTCTGCACAAAGAACAAACTTATTAGCTTTACATACAAGCAAATCCCTTAATATATGATCCAAACTACTTTTAAGATCTCATCTCCCACTAAACTACTCAATTAACTCCTTGATTCTCCTTCTGTAATACCAACCTCACTAAATATATCATGGACTATTTACCACAGACATCATGGACTTCACCCCTAGGTGAATTTTCCTTCTGCTTCAATATTTCTCTTTTTATGACTTCTCTAAGTTCCTACTCAAATAGCACTTTCTCTAGAAACTTCCCAATCTCCCTTTCTCCCAGAGTTTCCTGAAAACTCCTCTGTATTGTGATAGTTCCTTGATCAAAGTTTAATTTCAGCACTTCCCAGACTGCCTTCCATTTTTTTCCCATTCTCCATGTGCCTCCCCTTCTAATTTTTTAACTCTTCAAACATAAGAACTGTGTCTTATCTCTGCATGCAGGGTTTAACACACAGTAGACAATCAATCAGTATTGGCTGACTAAATAGTATACAATTACTGTGTGATACATTCTTTTCTCTGACATTATCTTAGAGTTAATGCTTCTGAGTGAACTAGCATGGATGGGGAGATGTGGCCAAGGCAACTAATCACTACAGATCATTACATTGGGACCTATGCAGAGGCCTCCTTTCTCCTACCTAATTCTGCATGCTCACTTGAAAAGAAAAATCATAACTACTGTCTTGGTTGAGCTATGCTAGTAAAGAGGAAAGGATTTTTTCATTTTATTTACTCTAAATTGTGACATAAGTCACATGGGACTAGAAGGCCCTTTTGGCTATGCAACTTCATTATGGGCTTGTGCAAATCATTTAACCTCTCTGGGACTCATCTGAAAAAAACAGAGACTATTAATGCTTTGATTGTCATACGGTTTTAAGGCCAGACTAGACTAACATATTTTTCAATTCTAAGATCTATGATTCTATTCATTCATCCATCCATCTGTCCATACGTCCATCCATCCATCATCCATCCATCCATTCATGAATGCTTGAGATCTCTTACAACTCTAATATCAGCAATTCTGTATCTATGAAAGTTGGATTCAAAGCAAATGTAAGACATCCCAAACATTCTGCAAAAATTCATACTGTGTCAAAAAGAATGACTTGAGGGATGTGCAGAATAGCAAGTCAGAAGCTCATGAATACTGAAACCAATTTCTCCAGTTGGTATTTGCTTGGGTTTGCTCCTTATGTTTGTGTTTCATTTCCCTGTCTGAACAGTTTGGGATGTCACACTTAAAAGGGACCAAACAAGCTGACTGATAAGTAATTTTTAAAAATTTGGAAAACAGGCAGGATCACTGAAATTCTAAATCATATTTAAGAACTATCCGTAGTGAAAGCATGCCAACAATAAGAACATTCTTTTATACTTAGGTATTTGTTCAGAAAAAAGGAGACCCGAACAACTAAGAAATACATAGCTTGGACATATCAACGATAACTTCAGAGTCTACCTTTGTTTCTGCTGCATGGGTTGTTGCCTCATAGCCATATACTGCATGTCTTCTTGCAGACGATTAAGAGGGGAATCTGGCTTGACACGAATCCCATAGTAGTGGTATTTGGAGTTTCCTCTTCATTAGCGAACAAGAAACATTAGAAACAAAAGTCAGTCAAACTAATATTAATCACATGGGATGTCCATTAAACTTCACACTTGGAAAAATTTGGTAAAAACAGTATATTAATGTTATATATTATGATTAACCTGTTCTGAATACTTTTATGTTTTCATGGTGATAAAATTTGGAGAATCAAAATAAGAGTCTAAATCAATCAGCTAAAGGCCCTGCTAAAGATATTTGTTCATAAACTTTCACTTAAATATTAGTCAAACAGTCCATTTGTTCTATACAAATTACATTTCATTTTCAAATTTCTATTTTAAATTTAGTTAAGAAGGGTAAAGATAGGAAAAAAGTTTTTAGCCAGTAAAAATTAGTTAACAGGCCAACAAAAATCAGTCAGTGAATACGCATTCATTGTAAAGTATGTATACAGAACAAAGAAAAAAAATCTTAATTCTACTTTCCTGGATAAGTTCGACATTTTTCTCTTTACTTCAGTGATGATGAAGTAAGATAACTTAATTATTTGTTACAAAATGTTGTGGTAAAGACTTACTTAATATTTTGTAACCTAAAAAGAAAGTAAGTCTTTAATCTACTGATTTTGAAACACATTTTATTAGTTTCTGTTTTTATGGATTTGTATCAGTTCTGCAGGCTAAATAGGATTTGTCACAACAGACATGGGGAAATTTCTCTATGAAAATGGCAAATTTCCACCTGGAATAAAAATGTCACAATTTCGCCATGTTCATGAGAAAGACCATGTTTGCTATTAGAAATGATGAAGTTTTGCTCTGAATGGAATTTGCAAATTCTTGCAAAATATCATCTTACATATGTAAATTCTTGCAAAGAGAAAATAGTAGTTTTTCACAAGTCCATATATGGCAATACATCAGTGCTTTTTCCAATTTTTTCTTCCATTTACAAAAAGAAATGCAAGAAGAGTATGGATTAAATATTTTTTATAAAAATAGGGCAGAATTGTACTTCCAAGATTTAAAAACATATATTAAATGAACCTTATACATATTTGAAGACATTAAAATCATATTACATAAATTATACTGCTAGTTTAAAAAAAATGCAGGGCATCCAAATATCTACATGCTTTCAGCACAATAAAGCAGATAAAGAAACTTAATGCCCGTAAAGCAAGGCCTTCCACTTGCAGAGATTAGATCTTGTCTTGAAAATCCACTGCAGAAAGGTGCAATAAGCCAAACCAAAAAATTCCACATACCCAATTTGTGGTGTTCTCCTGTACAAACTGGGGGACACTAAGGAGTGGAGGTAGGGTAGGAAGCAGGAGGCATTACTTACAAGACAAAACTACAGAGGAAAATGACATCTCTCTTGTGAGACCTCAAATAGATGGGGTGCCTTTCCTACAAATTAACATTTTAGTTGGGTTGGGAGAGGTTCTTTTTATTTCATTGGGAATGAATGGCTGGGGGAGAGAAGTATATCCATGGTCTTCTTTACTCAAACTTAACCTGGAGATGGGATCTAACAAAAGGTACCTTTTTATTTGCCTTTGTTTAAAACAGTGATTTGATTTACTTTTTGTTTACTAAGGTCCAAAAACTTTAGAAAAGATCTGGTTCTGGTTTGAGTAGTTTCACCAGATTATTTTATTGATGGATAATATTAATAATAGTTTTACATATAGTTCACTTTTTAAAAAAAGAATTTGATTTAGTTTGCCTCATGATTTACATTAATTTTCCATCTGTTTCTTGGATTAGGAGTAGAAAGTAAACGCAAAACAGTTTCTATGGTAGAAAGAATGTCTAGTACCTCACTCCTACAATTGCCAGTTTTTCTACATTAGAATTCTATCTTCATAACACTTCATTTCTTTAAACTCCCTCCATAGTACTTATTTTCTCCTTATTTTTCTAGGCTTCGCTTCACAAACCTAATTGCAAACACTACATACAATTAAAAAAAAAAAAAAGGAGACATAATTCATAATTGTTACATAGTGGTGGGTGGGAGGAACCCAGAACATCAGAAAGTAAAAGCTGCAATATTGCAATATGTACTTACAGAGTATGGATTCTACCCATTCACAAAACCAAACAACCCCAATTTTGTCCCTTTCTATTTTAAAGACGTGTTTCAAGGTTTGAACGGAGCCTCAAAATAGGACCCATTGAAATCCCTTTCAGTAACAAAAGAAGCACAACAATACAGCTATTAGAATGTTGAATAAAGCCCAGAGTTTCAAAATATTGGCATGGTATGCATAACTACAGAGCCACCAGCTAGGAGATAGTAGGTTAGGTCCCCAAATAACGATTTTTGTGGTTTTGGGGAAAAAAAAATACTATAGAAACAAAAAGCTTTTCTCAAGGGAATGAAAGCTATTCCTTTAGTGTGAATAGACAATCATATTCTTCAGTTTAAAATATACTATCTTTTGAAGTATAGAAAGAAGGAAACATATTTATGAGAGAGCTAAACCTTCAGCAATCTAAAAGCTGTATAATCACTTAAAATGCAACCGGAAAGCAATAATTCATGCTTTGAATACATACAGGCCTTGTAAATCTCATAAAACTGAGACAGTGAAGAGGTTTAGGACATGCTATCCCAAACTATGGCACCTTGGCATTTGAGGAAACAACAGAAGTAGGCCACAGAAACTAGAAAAAAATCCCCTCACTCCTTCTCCTCTGAAGCAGGCCATAAAACCTAGCTTACTTTCTCCTGAAAACAGGTAATGGGACCCTCATTCCAGAGGGGTCCTCCTATACCTTGCAGAAAAGAACGTTCTTACTTTTGAAGACACAGGGATGCAGAAAAATCTGAACAAACAGGTCTTGCTGGGCCGGATGCGGTGGCTCACGCCTATAATCCCACGATGTTGGGAGGCCGAGGCGGGTGGATCACCTGAGGTCAGAAGTTTGAGACCAGCCTGGCCAACATGGCGAAACCCCATCTCTACTAAAAACACAAATTATCTGGGCGTGGTGGGTGGGTGAGGGGGGCGCCTGTAACCGGGGTTACTCGGGAGGCTGAGGCAGGGAGAATCACTTGAACCTAGGGGGCAGAGGTTGCAATGAACTGAGATCAGGCCACTGCACACCAGCCTGGGCTACAGAGCGAGACTCCTTCTCAAAAAATAAAACAAAAACAAAAACAAAACAAAACAGGCCTTGCTTAGTTTCCCCCAGATTAGAACCATTAGATCATACCTCTAGAACCATTAGATCATACTCCTTTCTGTCCAATTTCTCCAGAACTATTCACTTCATCAGACTGCATAAAATACATATAGTTCTCTCTGTTTCTTTGGGCCTTCATTTCTGAAGGCACCCAGTCATGTAAAACTTATATTAAACAAATCTGTATGCTTTTCGCTTGTCAATCTTTTGCTATAGGGGTCCTAGCTATGAGTCTTGTGATGGTGACAAAAAGATCAATCTTTTCTCCCCACAACACTCACTCCTCTTTTTGGTATACATTTTTAATGAAGTCAATTACTAAGGCTGTGCTTATTTTATTAAGATTAAAAACTCTTCACTTTGGGAGGCCGAGGCAGGTGGATCACCAAAGAGATGGAGACCATCTGGGCTAATATGGTGAAACCCCATCTCTACTAAAAATACAATAATTAGCTGGACGTGGTGGCGCACACCTGTAGTCTCAGCTACTCGGGAGGCTGAGGCAGGAGAATCACTTGAACCTGCGAGGCGGAGGTTGCAGTGAAGAGATTATGCCACTGTACTCCAGCCTGGCAACAGAATGAGACTCCATCTCAAAAAAACAAACAAACAAAGAAAAAAAAAGCCAACAAAAAAAACCTCTTTGCTAAAATACTCTGAAGTTGTGCTTTATAGCTAATGAAGGGTAAATCACCTAATGTTGCATAGTATAGTATCTCTATTTTAACTTTTTATATGATTTCTATAAGATTTAGGAAATTAAAAACATCCATAGCCTTCTGTCCAGCTACTTAAAATAATTATCTTATAATTTATAGAAATATGGAAAGACAAAAATGAAGCTCCAGAGTTCTAAGTATTCTTTTCATGATGTTTCGGTTGGTGAAAACACTCTTATTTCCAAAGGAAGAAAAACCAGAGACTTCTTCTTCACATTGTTTCAATTCAATTGAACTATACTATGCTTTTCCTTCCACACACATATGGTTTCACATTAAGAGCAGAAAAAATAGTAGGGGCTAATAAGAGGTAAAATACAACTATCTTATCACTGAGGAATTTAAACACTATATTGCAAGTTTACCAAATGATTTTTAATTCGTCTCCAGAAATCAAATGAAAAAACTCTGCTTTAGCTTCTTACTCTAACTGAACAATTATTTATAAAGACAAATGTAAGTTTTCAAGAGTTAAGAGATACATAGTTTTCCATTTACTATGTCACTTAATGCATCATCATTAGTAGGATTTCTTTCAATAAGAGAATACATTTTTTTATGTGTGTGTGTGTATGTGTTTGTGTGTGCCTTAAAGCACCATATGCAAATCTTGCATTAACAGGTTGGTCTACTAATTTCTATGTAGTTTGAGAATCAGCTCTTCTCAAAGCTTTGCTCGGTTAATGTTTTAGACAACATATAATTCTGGCTTGGAAATAGTCACTGAATAACATCCTTTCCTTTTCCTGGGGATGTTATAAACTGAGCTCATTCTACGTATTTCCTTACATATTGTCTGTAATCAAGTACTTTTGTTTAAACAATATACTGAATTGCTCTAGTTTGAAAAACAGAGATTAGTTTATGATCTTATTTTTCAATACTAACCTAGTGCCCAATCTCCTGGTTCGTAGCCCCATAAAAATTGATCTTATTAATTTTCCAAAAGAGGCAGCATTGACTGGGTCCAGTTTGTGTTCCTGACAGTGTCGAAGGTAGTGGTTGTATAGAGTGCTTCTGGGAAGGCTCACTCCTTCTGCTGTCTCGTAATTGTCCAACAGCCACTGGAGCTAGGGAAATAAGACACAGTAAACACAGACAAATCACATAATTTGCCAAAATTTCTACAAGACACTGCAAACGCAACATACAGAAATACTCAGAAGTTCTTCATCAAGTCTTATGATAGAGTAAACTACTGTAATTCAGAAGCTGGTAATCTACCTTTGAAAATGCTCAGAAACACTGTAAATAGCTGAACATCACTAAGGGTCTCAGACAATATCCATTTCTTCAAATATTCAAGCACACGTAGAGACATACTAATTTTCTCTGTATTGATTGCAATTTTGAAAATAGATACCACTTCAAGGAGTTCAAATAATCCCATTAACTGGTCACAAATATCAGAAATATAATTGCTACGGAACAAAACATGTTACCAAGCCTGGTAGCATGGTACATAAGATGTCTTTAGTGTTGGCTTGTTATAACACATGAACAGCAGCCTGCCTGGTATCAGTGTTTATATTAAAGTTATATTCATTTTTATAGAATTTTAATTTATTTATCTCAAATTACCACTAGAAAATAACAATATGGTCTACTGGGACAGATTCTGAAAGCAGAAAGGACAAAATGCAGTCATTTTGTCCCCAAATGAAAATAAACTAACTAGACATTGGCAAAGAGTTTACATGCAATGAAAATGAATCATTTATTACAACCATTTGAATTTTTCCGCCTCAAAACTGTGTTTATTCATAATTTTGGAAGGCACACTGCAATGGTAGTGGGTAACGCAATACTTTTTCAGTCTATGTTCACATTTTAAAGTTTTATGTTGTCCTGTGTACATTACAAAAAAAATCTTTAAAGCACTGGATGTACAAGAAAATTTTAGAAAATTGAATCCAAGTCTGTATTATTGAATTTTAACATTAGCAAAATTAAATTTTTTATTCATTTATTTATTTATAAAAGTAGAACTGAAATAGACTTAAATTACTTTCTCAAAGTCACACATTGTTTCCATGCCTGAGCTGGTTTCCAATTCACATATCCTGATTACTCCAGACCAATGTTTCACAAAAGCAGTAAATACTTCACATTACTTGCCTCAAAAAAAAATTTTCATGCCATATATAAGACAGGTGTAATAAAGAGTTGACATTTAACACACAATTCAAGTTAATATAAATTTTAGAAGCCAAAGAATTCATTTATTGAACACCAACCATGAGCCAGGTAATGTGCCAGGCATCTAGTGATGCAAAAATGAATGTGATCTCATCCTTGTCCTCTAGGAATTTCCAGTGAAATGCTAAAAATGATAATATGAACATCTAAATAAATAAAAAATTTCTCCATTTTGCTTACATATTTTAAGATTTGCAGTCAAACTTAGAACCTGAATTTTCAGACTTTTAATTTAAAAATTCATTAAAAATATTTTCAGAATTACTGATTTTAGTCATGACAACTAATTTCCAAAAACCATTTTAATGTCAAATATTCCTACATGATGTTTATGTAATTAAACGTATGTCATTAAACCCATATTGATAGTTGGCTTACAAAACACAGCCACCAAATCTACAAGACAATCCAGAGTACTTTTAAAAATAAAATTCAAATTTTGATCAGAAAGACCTGAAGTCCTTCACAGGGCACATATAGGAATGAATACGCACATTTAAATGTACATAACACCTCTTAACATATACAAGGCTGACCTATACAAGTTTAAAAAGATTACACAAAATAAACATTCGTTTTTACAATGACATAAAAGTATTACAGGCCAGAAGAACTATTTTGTTATGAATCATCTGGAACCTGATTGTTAGTAAACAAGTTGTCCAGGGGCGCTTAAACATGATTTCTGAGTATTCTAAGTGACACACAGAATAGGTTTACTACACATATTCATTTAGTGTAAAAGAGATAAGGCAGTCTGATTGGGAAATTAAGTTACTGAGGTTCAAATTAGTATTTTGCCTACAACAGTGGGACAGCATGTATCTTTAGTGTTTTGTTTTGTTTTTTTTAGTTTTAAGACTTTATTAGTTTTGAGTATAGCTGAGGGAGACTACACATAAAATGCAGCAATAAAACCCTGATTCATATATTTCATCCACATGCTTTGGTAAAATGATTGAGATTGGGAAGCACTTGAATGATGTTATGGCAGTCCTAGTGAGCTGTACTGTACAACAGTGCTGGTTCTTGTTTTGTGTACGTATACTACACAGAGCAAGGGTTGACCACCTTCTATTGGCAGTCTTAATATATTAAAGAAAGGCATATAGGTTCTTGATATAAAGGACTATAAAGAAGACATGAAAGAAAAACATTCTGGAAAGGCAGACATAAAAAACGTTAATACTTTTTGAAACAGAGTAGTATTTTTCAACTAAACTAATGAAGTTTCCACATCCACAAGCATGGAACACACAATATGTGTAAGTTAAAAATGCATGGAACACACAATATGTGTAAGTTAAAAACGCCAAAGATATGTTTGTATGTACATCTACATATCCTCATAAAATAATGCATATTGTCAAAGGTATAATAGTATGATTTCTTCTGAGTGAAGAAATCAATATTACTTCCTTTGCTAATGAACAGAAGACATACTATATAGAAAACTCTTAATTTAAAGGGCATTTTTTTTTCAGAAATGGAATTAGTCAATATTATAATATGAACTTTACAACCAAAAGTATACAAATAATAAAAACAGATTAATGTAATTTTAGTCTGATAAAAGCAAATAAAAATAATTTTAATTAACCAGAAACAAATAAAACATTTTAAAAACTGCCCTACTTGTATACTAGTCTTCGTGCATCATTTAATTACTTAAAAATAAAGACAAATATGTAAACATGAGAGCTTACTTATTTTTCATGATCATAGGAATTATCTTGTAGATTAAAAATTGTACTACAAAATTTGAAAAAGAAAATCCAATAATAGAATATTTGAAGGATACTGTAATAAATTACGTTTTATAAAAGTAAAAGTACAAATATTAAAGTTTAATATAAAATATTTTGAGTCCAATGGTATATTTACATTTATATACATATATATATATGGGTTAATCAGCCCACTCTTAATAAAGAAAACTTTTCATAGAAATAGTGAGATAATTATAGCAAATGTTGGTACAAACTACTTAGAAGCCTAAATGATATTACTTATATCCCAATTGAATAATTTACAGGAAGTGAACCTTTTACTGGATTGGCTAGGCAGGCCTCTGAAATGGCTAGGTAAGTCAAAAAATCTGCACTGTTTTATAAACTGATTGTTCGTCTTATATAGTTTACATTCTTAAACTGAAGAAATTCTGTTTAATTCTGTTTAAATTCTTCTTCATTTCCAAACTAGTTCAAAAATGTTTACATGTATACATGCATATACATATATATATTTGTATAAATCACTAGTTAGTTTGAAAAATGGTATAAGAACAGGTATTTTGATGACTATTACTTTGACACTAGCAAAGCTACATTTTGTTCCCTACCCGATGTATGCAGAAAGAGGAACTGTATTCCTTGCCAGATGCCTGGAGAGCAGGTTGAGAGAGCATAAGGAAGTCAAGTGGAGGTAAAAGCCCTGAAAGGATGGAGATGGATTTGCTGTAGCCCTGCAGGTCCCAGCTAAGAAGACTGCCAACAACTGCCCCACCTCGGGCTATATCTCCTAGAAATTCACTGTATTAACAGAAATTGATTTAAAAGGATCCACCAGATAAGACTTTGGCTGGGGATTATAATCTCTATCCTATATGCCAGTATTTAACTTTTACGTTTTGATACAGTGATGGAATTATAAATCAGACATTTGTGTCTAAAACATAGTATTAGAAAGCATTACTTTAATTGTAAGAGAAACTTGGCAGTTAAGTTTTTGTGTAAGTTTAAGTGCAACCTAAAGGCACAGGCTCCATGAGCTACCCAAGGGAAGTTAATGCCTGGTAAATATTGCTTCCTTGGGTTTTGTCTTTAATACAATGTATTTGGACATTAGTATTCCCCAATCTTAACATTCAGCAATTTAGAACTAAACAATTATTATTTGTTTTGCTCTTTTATAAAATGTCTTGTAAAATGTTTCCTGACTTCAAAAACCCGTAAAATAACAAGGAATTATTTCAAAAGCCCATAAAATAACATAGCAACTTTTAACCTTTATCTTTAAAACTTGATTATTCTACTAATGAACTAACATACACTCATTTAAGGGTGGAAACCAAGATAACTGCATCTTTCAACCTCTGCATTTAATCTGTATTAATCAAGATAGATTAAAGATGAATGGTTCCTATTTTTCCCAAAGGGAAATCCTGATTGACAAATAAAAATAAACAAATATTGCACTGCCCAATTAACATCTAAATGTAACATTTGTCATTTTTTCCCAGATGGATTATTACCCATCAGGATTCATTTTTATTTCAGTTTACCAATGATACGCATTTTGACAGGCCTTATTTCTGTAATAACTTATATTTACAATACAACAAAGTCAACGAAAAGTGAGTAAAAAAACAAGGTTTTGCTTTGAGCTGAATGTATTTTGGTAGCTAAAACTAGCAAACAACATGAAGTAATTATTTGCCAGATTGTGAGAAATACATAAAATAGATGGCTAGAGCTTTTCATAAACTTTAAATGGAATTTTAAAGAAATGTACAACCTTAAATTTTATGCGATTATTGGGGACAATTAACAACATTTCTGAATTCAAATTCACAATGTAAAATAAGTAGTTCGTAAACAAGTGAACACACCACAACCATTAAATACTAATTTGTATTAATTAACACCAAGAAAAAGTATAAAAAAATCTTAAGTCTGCAATGAAAAGAATTAGATATTCAAATTTGATTTAGGCAGACTATACATCACTTACCTATAGCATCTTCATATACAAAAAAATAAGAAACAAAAATATTTAAATAAAAAATTATCAGACTAATAGAATTCTGTAAAGCCAAATACAAAGAACCATTCTAAAATACCAGGAGACAAACAATGTCACTCTTGGCAAGAATTTTTTAAAAGATGAGATTGTTTAGAGAAAAAAAGAGTTATTTACTCTTAAACTGAAGGCTGCTTGTAGAGAAATAACAGAGTGGCCATATATTCTTTACTCAGATGGAATACCAGAACAAGACCACCCTTTACCAACAATGTTCACGTATACATCTACTAGAAGTAAACTTGAAAACAAAGGAAACAATACAATGAATATGAGTCTCCAAATAAATGTACACATGATTGGCAACGGCATCCTAGAATTCCTAAAATAATGAAGGTAACATAAGGCCTGATCCCTTTTATTGTTTTTTTTAATTCATTCAGCAAATATTTAGTGAGTATCTATGATGTACTAGGTACCATTCTAGGCACTAGGGATGCACTGGTGAACAAAACATACAAAAATCCTTACTTTCTTGGAACTATCATTTACAATAAAGATTTGCTAACTGCCTATTACAGATGCTGGTACTAAAATAACTACCACCATGTTAATTCTCTTAAGAATATGTTGAAAATGGGATAAGAATTCAATACCCCACCCCATTTTCTAATGTGTGGAAAGGTATAAAGCAAAGCAATCAAGTTGGATTCTGCTGAGAGGGGATTATTTATCTTATTTAGTCCTAATAAGAGTTTTTAAAATTACTGTGAATAAGCAAATATAGAAAGAGAAAATAGGAAATCTTTGCTTACCCATATTCCAAAATAGAATGAGAATAGACTTTTCACCTCAAAAGTCATGATTAACACCCCTCTTTAGAAACAGGAAAAATATGGGATGCAAATTATCAATAATTTCTCCCAATTTTTTTACATAATAAAATTGATCCTGTGGAGATAGTGATAAATCAGGGAACTAATCATCATAAAGCGGAATTCATGTTCACCTTACAGAATCCCACAAACCTCAAATAATTCTATATTATGCCCTATGTAGTGAGAAATAAAGGTAGTATAGTTTACTGACATTTAAAATATTAATAACACTTTTTTTAAAAAACCCAATCTCTCCACTGAAAAAATTCTACGCAACATAAAATCACCAGTTAGGTTCACAGAATGTAAAATATATTTAGCAAGTAGTTATCAACCAGAATGCATGCACTAGCAAATTCCAGCTGTTTTTGATAAATCTCAGAAACGTTAAAAGCATCCTCAAATTTCCAAGGAGGAAAAAGACAACTGGATCTTCTTCTGCGTTTAGGAAGAAACTAACCTCACTGATTAGTCAGCAGAAGCACTGATCCTTTCTCCACTGTTTATAAACCATCTGTAGAATCATTTGTATTTCTAAATATTTGACTATAAATATAATTTTGAATGAACTTCACTGTGCCTCAGAGGTGTAATAAAAATGAGTCAGGATAGCTGGAGAAAGATTATCACTGCACTATCAACATTTGCTCCCACTCTTTCCACATACTGAAGTGTCTCCGGCAGTTGTTAACAGTATGGAAGATCAGACATATTATGTAATAAAAAAAAATGAAGCCATGGAGTAATAAACATTTGTCATTGTTTATGCAGCTTAATTCACACATTTATTAACCTTAAACATTCTTTCATGAATTCTATAGAGAAAAGTAATTTTTAAAAATCTCTAACACAGTTGAAAAGCTTCAAACAAATCAACAAATACATCTTAAAAATGTATAAAAAACATGTTCTTATACTTCCATTATTGTTCATAAAAATATTAAGATGAATAACTGAAGTTAAATTTAAAATTAAACATAACATATTTTACTAAATTATACATGTCAAGTAAAAATGAACTCTAAGTTGAATACGAAAGCACAACTTGGAAGTCTGAAAGCTGAAACAGGTAACTAGAAACTTCAGGTTTTTTTTTTTTCTTATGTCCTTGCACATTTCTGACTAAAAGGAAGAACAATTTCACTTGCCATTTTCAAAGCATAAATACAAGTTGGTCATCACCCCCCTGACACACACAGCCTAGTAGTATACAGGAAATCAGCCTTTATAATACAATCACAGATACATACCAACATAGCAGGAATATACTTATGAAATATAAAAGAGTGACATACTAAATACCAATTTTCAGAAATGAAAAAACTTGTATTTCTTAAACTGTTTCAAAAGGAAGGGCCAGAATATATGTTATTATCTTTAAGTTTATATGTATGATTTTTCACCAAAATTATAGGCATTCTCCAAGTTGGCTAACCTGGTTTTGTTTTCCATGATACTTTCCTTTGAAAAAAGAAACAAGATAAAATACCCCATCTAAAAACAAATGTGTAAGAACATAAGGAGGTATTTAGTGCTATTTTAAGATTTAAAATGAAAATGTTTCAAAAATCAAGTATTTAAAAAAACACACTTAAAACATTTTCCACGAGTAAGTTTTAGGTTCACTGAAAAAAATCGTTTCATTTGGGTGATCTAATTTCGAGCTTTTCAGTTACAAAATATGAAAAAGAAATAAGAAGTCATAATACTTTATCCCTAAATTTAAGAACAAATTGTCAGTTGGGGGAGAAATTCTAATTCTTACTAAAATGTCACTAGTGTTAAGTTAGCAGAAAATCAATCTAAAATCAATTTAAATCATGGGTCTATTTACTTTTTTCCATATATTCAGAAATCATCTTAACAAAACAAATTTTTATTCAGCATTTTCATGGGTTTCGCAAATGTGAACAGTTGATAAAAATGTTTATAATTTCACAAAACTATCATCACCTTTCTTACACTTACCAGTGTCATAGTGATATCTGCATCTGATAACAGGGAACAGCTTCAGGAAATAGTAATGGTAATTGTTTTATCTCAATTATTAGCAATTTATGGCTTGTAGACAGTCTCCCTTTTTCTTCTGGTTCACTTTAACTTCTCTTTAGGTCTTAGGACCTGAGTTCAACTATAGGGCTGTCTACTGCCCACTTTACATAGTCTAACTGGCAAACAAATAATTTTCAAACAGTTTGTCATTGGATTTGACATTAATAGTCTTTTTTCTACTTAAAGAATATTACCGGTCACACAAGTAGACATGGCTGTTTGACAGGGATGCAGATTACAAGTATTTGCTTCATAGTAAATAAATATCAAACCAGAACATTTTAGATATTGAAAATCACTATTATTACTTTTTACAAACAACGGCAACTTGTTACTAACTTGAAAATATTGTATCTGTACCCAAAGAGTACAGAAATCTAATAAGGCATTATACTGGAGACTCTTAGTTTTTGGATATTTCACTGTACAAAATAGCCATTAAATGACACAGAGATCATAAGGGGCTGAGAAAGGAAGGTTAAGAAGCAAAATAAATAAGTAAATAAATAAAACAAGCATTTAGAGGCAAGCAACACATGCAGAACAAGCAAGAGATTAGTGTACATGAAGAAGAGGCAACTTACATGGCTGTTGAGAAGAGAGCTTCTGTGAGTGGACAGACCGTCAGACTTTTGCAGCGTCTCAATCGCCATTTCAATCTGATAATAGATGTCATTAAAAAAAGGGCTCAAGACAAGATAGTAATAAAAGGCTGACCAGAGAATTTCTGATAGATTCTTTAAAGTTCAACTTCTTCCTCAGTGGTTGTTAATGAATAGCTATCGCTTAATGTGTTTCCCCCCACTTCTTCCCCACCCTCCAGAGAATAAAATAAAAATATCACACTAATAATAAGCCCATTCACAAAGTAAACCTTTTTTGAACATTCCATAATTATCAGAATGGAGACCTGAGGAGCAGGAACCCCGGTGGATTTTTCTCCTTATGAATAAACATTCTTGACTTACATAGTTCAGGATGTGGTCTCTTTCTAAATAGTCTCCCACCTAAAGAGTATTTAATATTAGTGCTATTCTGTCATGAAAGGAAAATCATACTGCAGATTTTGAGTTTAATATGCATTAATATTTTAATGCAAATGAACAAGATTCTTTCATTAATGTCCAAAAGTTACTAAATCTATACATTCCTCCATTAATCCCGCATTAAAATATGGAAGTAGGGGGTGATTAGTACGACCAAATATGAAGAAGTAGTGCTGATCCCTACATTATATTTTAGGATATAGTGGTAAGGCAGAAATATTAGAAATGACAGCAGAAATGGAATGTAGAAGAGAAAATAATTCAGAGCCAACAAAGAGAAGGGACAACCACAGAAACAGCTTTATTCCATGAAATCTCAGCATAGCATGAGAAATTATTAAATACCAGCTGTTACTGATAAATGTGATATACTCTTAATAACCTCATATTTAAAGTTATCTATCTTTCAACTCCTGGAAGTACTGCAAGTTCCATTAAAAACAGGTACTGAACACCCTGTATTTGGACACTGAGCTATACTAACAATATTAGCTAAATTCAAAAGAAAAAAAATCACACCGTGCAATTTAAGAGAGAAAATTGATTTCATTATTTTTAACAGTCTGATTACATCAACAATTCAGTATAAGCAGTTATAAAAATATTTAGAGCTTTAAAACATAGTTAACTGTCTTATACTTTGGCTATGGAAATCGAAAAAGATTTGAAATTTTAACATACTGCCCCCCCGCCAAGAAAAATAATGCAGTAATATCCATTGCAAAGTCTTAATTTTCTACCAAGTTGCCAATTTCTTTATGGTAAAACACTTTATACACAGAATATTCAGTATCAATTATATCAACATTAAATCTAATTTTCTTCTAAACAACTTAGGAATTAATAGCTTTAATTTTATTTTACATTATTTTCCCACATTGCTAATTCTTCCCTGGAGTTAATAAAATATAATACTGAAAAGCATATGTTAGGTTAAGAAATCATTAAAAAATTCTTAAAATAGATATTAAATTAATTCATAGGAAGATATAATACAATTTATCCTACTGCTAACTTTTTTTAGACAACAAAATTAAGTAAACTGGCTTATAAAACATTCTCTGCCAGAATGGATGTTAATGCAGTTTATCACTATACTTGAAAATAGTGATACTGCACAAATGAAAACAGATATATTACAGAAAGAGTAATGTAAATGTAATGAATAAACAAACATTTTGCCAAAACATTAAACTGTGAAACTATAAAGGACTTTGGTATAACATCTCTTAAAACATGATCAATAAGTGCTTTGTTTTCAAAGGGAAAACAGAGCAGAAAACAAGTCAAAGGATTCATGTGACTACAATTCACTTATAGGAAGAATTTGCTCAAAACCCTAATTTGCCATTATACCTATATTTTCTTTAAAGTTTGAGTGTGGAGAATTTGAGGTAAGATTTCAGTCTAGCAAATAAAAATAAGATGATCAGTAACTTTTGATATTATAATTTTAAATGAAAGGTAAATTACCAGATATATAATTGCTGAGCAACACTAAAGAAGAAGTCCATGCTCTCAGTTTGTTAATAAGCACCTTTCAGTTGGATAAACCAGCACTTCTTTTTCTGGGGAAAAAAAAATCAGAAATCTGCTTCTGTTATTGAAGCTGTTATTTTATGGTGGTCCTAGATTTCCAGATGATTCCTTAGAAGTCCAGGCTTTTAGGAAACGGCCTTCTCATTTCTGGCCAGTTTTTTAAGAACTTTGGAAAGGAGCAAGGAAATATGTGGGTGAAACTGGATTCCCCAGGAATGTATACACTGACATTCCAGAATGCTTTGGACCTTCAGAATTTTGGTTCTTCTTTGTGTCACTTTGTAATATAGGTAACAAAAGGGGTATTTCTTTTGGCTTTAGGAATCTTCTGCCTAACCGACTTAGGCCTGTGCTGAATTTGTGGAGCCCGGGGAATGGAAAGGCAGAAACATGGAATGATAGGACAATCAAGAAACAAAGACTGAGTTTTTCTACAAGGAAGACACCAGTCTTAGCATGCATGTTAGAGCCTACTTGGAAACCCACCGGCTTCCAAATACTCATGAATTCTTTAAGGCTTATTAATTAGTCCAATGGGATAACCAGGTCATTTAGTTACCATCTCACTGATAAGAACTTCTGAGACGCATACAAAAAATTAACATTTATTATATTCATTTAAAAAATATATTGAAGGGAATTCCAATCTCATGAAAGGATCACAGCCCTGATTACATTTTTTAAAGAACAGTTTTTTTCTTTTTTAAGTACATAGTAACTGGGTGACTGTCATTTATAAAGTTGTGTGCAAAAGATCATGATTACAAAAATTTTTCATACTTCAATAGACATTACAATCCAGTAAGAGAGATAGGGTATATAGTCAGATATATGAATAAATGCATAATTACCCAGATTTTATGGTTTGTCTGTGTCCCCAGCCAAATCTCATCTTAAGTTGTAGCTCCCATAATTCTAACATGTTGTGGGAGGGAGCCAGAGGGAGGTAACTGAATCATGGGGGTGGTTTCCCCAACACTATCCTTGTGGTAGTAAGTCTCACGAGATCTGATGGCTTTATAAAGGGTTTCCCCTTTTGCTTGGCTCTCATTCTGTCTTGCCTGCTGCCATGTAAGATGTGCCTTTTGCCTTCTGCCATGACTGTGAGGTCTCCCCAGACACGTGGAACTGTGAGTCCATTAAACCTCTCTTTCTTTATAAATTACCCAGTCTCAGATATGTCTTTATCAGCAGCATGAGAACGGACTAATACACCAAACAAGACTGTTTGTAACAAAAATACAAGTATAGTTCAGAAAGGTGGAAGAAAATAAGAGTAGTAGTCTTTAACTTTTGAGGAGTCTTTAACCCTTTTGAAGATGTAATGAAAACTGTGAACTCTCTACTTGGAAAAAATGTATGTAAGAACACCTACAAAATTCACATTTATTTTCTTAGTTTATTGACTCTCCGAATTCAAAACCCAAGTATTAAAAGATGGAAGTAGGGCCGGGCGCGGTGGCTCAAGCCTGTAATCCCAGCACTTTGGGAGGCCGAGACGGGCAGATCACGAGCTCAGGAGATCGAGACCATCCTGGCTAACACGGTGAAACCCCGTCTCTACTAAAAAATACAAAAAACTAGCCGGGCGCGGTGACGGGCGCCTGTAGTCCCAGCTACTCGGGAGGCTGAGACAGGAGAATGGTGTGAACCCGGGAGGCGGAGCTTGCAGTGAGCTGAGATCCGGCCACTGCACTCCAGCCTGGGCGGCAGAGCGAGACTCCGTCTCAAAAAAAAAAAAAAAAAAAAAAAAAAGATGGAAGTATTCAGGGGGTAAAAGGGAAATCTAGGAAGAATCGACTTAATAGAACCAGGAGTCAAAAAAGCACAGGGTGTGTCCATAATTGGGAAATGGCAAAAAACCTAGTTTGTAGGGCATGAGCTATAAATATACATTTCATATATATATGGGAGCGGTATGAGTGAGGCTGAAAAAAATAGGTTGGAAGTAGATAATGTATGTGGGAATTAGGGAAAAAGCGATGTCATTAAGGTTTTGAGGAAAGTGTAGGGATGTATGAAAAATGCTAATTTTCAGATAAAGCCAGGAGATGGGTTTTGCTAGGTATAATGGGCCATGTTAGTAGTAAAGTTAAAATAGGTAAGAGGAAAGTGTGCCCAATAAATGCTTGTGGATTGAATAGAAGCTTCTGGGACAACAATAAGGGAAGAGACTATCACTCACGGGAATATATTATGACAATGGCGGGAAAGTGAGGGTGAGGAAGAGGCAAGAGGAATAATGCAGAAATGGGGAAGAAGAGTAATAATGAGTTGGAATTTTGAAATTACAAACATATGAAGGATTAACTAGCTGCATGATTCCAAATGGATTACTAATGTCACTCCTATGAATTCGCCCATGATTTGGGTTTATCATAGTTTCAAGGGGGTAGTTTCATGCATATGGGGAGGAGTTGGATAGAGGGACAGAGGGATAGTGTGCAAATCAGCTAGATGCTAGATAAAATGTTAGTGAATTAGGATAAGTTTCTACCAGTCTCTTCAAAGATTAAATCGATTTGTTAAATTTTCCATTATTGTAGATTAGATATTTAAGTAAATATTTGTTCAGTCTTCTGAGAGTTTACCAATCTCAAGAAAAAGATGGCACACATCAGCATTTGACACCCAAAATACTAATCCCAAAGTGGACTGGTGAGATCACATGCTTCCAGTTTATTGTGGATCACTTAAAAAGTTAAGTTCATTCCTTAGGAAAAATTTATAAATTCTGCTAAATAGAAATATGCGTAACACTAAATGATGTTTTACCATAATACTCATGACTGTCATATTTAAGACAGGAAATGATGATCAGTTAACACCGATGGAAAATTTGCTTAAAAGTAGGCTCACTGATCCAGAAGATTACTGGCCCAAATGTTCAATGCGATATTCTTATATATCATCAGAGAAAATGCTCGTAACCTCAACAAAGATATTATATCCCCATAGCTTCATGCAATGAAAATGATTACGTTACCAGGTAGCTAGAATTTAAAAGTGATTCAAATTCAAGCTTTTTTTAAAGTATAAGAATAAAATCAACCAACTATTCCTCTTCCAGTATA